TCTTTCTCTGCCTGCTATAAAAAGTTTGTCTTCAACCTTGCTGGAGGGAAAAATGGGTACAGCATTCGCATCCATAGTACCTTGTGAATTTGACTGTAGTTACCTTTTTCTTTGTCTCCCTTAAATCCAGCCGCTGCTGGTCTCTGCACAGGCATTCTTCCTTTTTCTGGGATGCTGCACAATCTCCCTGCTCTCTTCCCTCTCTTTCTTGCCCCACTCTTTTTCTTCTATCACTCCTTCTGTCTTTCTAAGATAAAATAAAGTCTCTATTTTTATATACTAATTTTAGTCTATAGGAATTATTTTTTCATCTAACACAGAGTACCCCAGCTAACCCACTGTTAGCTTTCCACCCTAACACGTGGTCTTTAAGTATTTGTAAAATTTTAGCTGATTTCTTCTTATATTATGCTCTTGGATGGTAGCCACTTCTCTTTCTGTGACCAGAAAAAGGTGAAAAAGTTTATTTGTAGTCTTTCTTTGTTGAAGCTTATGCCACCAAGGAGAGGAATAAAATTTACTTGGAATTTTATTAAATTTACTTGATTGGAATTAAATTTACTTGGTTGCCTTGTGACCTCTACCCTTTGTTAGGCCAAGGGAAGTTTTGATTTTATATATATATTCACATATAATATATATATTTATTTTTATTTTTTTTCTTTCCTCATCTGAGTGGGAATAGCATTCTTCTGTGGCTTTCTGCATTCTAAGCAGAAGTCGGACTAGAGTTCTTTATAAGGTATGCTGTTTCACAATTCAGTTTGTGGTGATCCTTCTTTTATGTTTTCCTTCATCAGCTTCTGGAATATTTATCACTTAGAATTGAACCCCACAGGCTACTTCCTCCATGAAGCCTTTCCTGCTTCCACTAAGTAGAATAGAACATCTCTTGGCTTGTGATAACCCCCCGTGAAGCTGGGCAGCTTTCAGATCTTGAGGCCTTTCACACTGAGAACTATCCTTCTGCTTTCAGAGTTTATGATTATAGTAGTTGATAGGTTTAAGGTAGGATCATAAAGTAAACTTGACATAAAAGCTAAAGCAGTGTACAAGGGAACTCATTTATTAATAGAATAAAAATTTGTGAAATCACACCTCTATAGGTAGTTCTGTTTCGTTTGTACAGTTGTTGCTCTTGAACTAAATTTTTTTTAGAAATAAGAATTCATAGAATCTAATTTTTGTCAAGGGTTTGGTTATACAAACTGGTATATATTTATACTGTGAAATATTATAGAACTGTAAAAAGTAATGAAGAAATTTATCTTAACATGAAGAAATATCTGGGATATATTGAGTGAACAAAAGTCAGGTATTAAACTGAATATTTTGTGTAAGAGGGCAGAGGGAATAAGGCTACATTTATAGGTAAGTGTAGTTGCATAAGGAATGACTGGAATAGTATACAGAAAACTAATAAAAGTGGTGACCTATAGTAAACAAGCTCAAGGTGAGCTGCATGTAAATGATACAGGAATGAGATTTTTCTTTTTACATCATTTTGATTTTTAAATCATGGCTGTAGTGTGTAGTAGTCACATATTAAATTAAAAAGAATAAACATAACTCTGTGGACATTAAAAGCAGGAAAATCTGAAAAATGAAATACGAAATAAATATTGTATATGAGATAATATTATTTTACTTAATCCAGTTTTCACCTGTGATTAAGTGAATACAGTGTGTGGAAAATTGCAGTGGGTAGGTTCATATGAATCTGGCTCCAGATAGAGAAATACATAAAAAGGGTAGCTATATAGCACCTAATTAGAAAGGTTTTGGTTCTAGATCTAGTAGTAGTATGGATGGTCACTGAAAGCAGAAAGGAATGTGTAGGTAAGCAACAGCTATTTCAGAAATACACAGTACTGGGAGTGGGCTGGGAAACCAACTCATTCATGAATTCACCAGGAATATCTTTGGAAATTGATAAGATGTATTTAACTATTGTCGGGAAGAAATAGGAGATAAAATATCAATATTCTTATCGCAAATTAAAACATACAGTGAACTTGAACAAATTGATAAAAATATCAATATTCTTATCACAAATTAAAACATACAATGAACTTTACTTGAACAAATTATAGCCAAGAGTCCAACATTCTTTTAGGCCAACAAATGAAAAATACAAGAAGAAACTTTATATACCAGGGGGTAGTGAGAATTATTCAGTGTTGCTAGGAAAACTGGTTGGTAATTTGTGACATAGTTCAGTTTAGAGCCAAATGTCATTCCATAATGCATCAGATAGGATGAGGTATTAAAAATTAGTCCATAGAAAATGAAAATCTGAGTATTACTTGCTGTTGTTGAAGGGGAAAAATTTCAAAGCAGAGAAATAATAAATGAAAAAGGCAATGAGGGACGAATCTGATCACTTAAAAATAAAAACTTCTATAAGGGCCAGTAATAAGTCTGAAAAAATGTTAAGAGTAAGTGAGAGAAATAGTACAGGTTGAGCATCCCACACCTGAAAACTCCAAATTGGAAATGTTCATAAATCTGAAACTTTTTGAACTTCAGCATGACACTCGAAAGAAATAGTCATATGAACATTTTAACATAATAAGAAAATGACATGAAGGCTATGTTAACCAGTTTGATGGAAATGTTTCAAATTGTATGTGAAAACACCACACTGTACCCCAGAATTGCATTACTGTACATAGTTACCATTCAATTAAAAAAAAAAAAAAGGAAATAGTCATTGGAGCATTTCGAATTTTGGGTTTTCAAATTTGTTCAACCAGTAAGCAAATATCCTCAAATCCAAAAATATCTGAATCTGAACCATTTCTCATCCTAAGCATTTTTAGATAAGGGATACTTAACCTATTTTTTCATATAAGCAGTTTACATAAGTAGTTAAGGAAAACTTGAAGAAATCTCTATCCCATCTCACCCATTCATTGTAGGGCTAAGAGGAAGAGTGACAGCTGTTTGGAAAGAGGCACTGTCAGTTACAGGAGAAGGAACCGATTACTGACATATAAAGGGTTGCTTTACAGCATTCAGTATCGAGCTCATTTGAGGAGTATGATATTATAGCAGGATCAGTCCACATGGTTGTGTGGTTTCTCCCTAGCAGGTGATTGGATTGACCCAGGATTAGGAATTTGAGGGTGGTGAAGTGGGAGGAAGAAAGTAATATACGAGGTGGATTGATAGCTTGAGAGACAGCCAAGAGTTTGAGACTGGAAATAACATAGCAAGTGGAGCGGGAAAGAGCTGGCAGAGTACATCAATCCAGGTTAGAAAAAATAGAGTGGGAGAGTGACTGGCAAAAAGTAGGAGAGGGTAGGACAGCCAGATGGGAAGCCTCAGGGAAGGAAGGGGATTGCTTGTGAAGGTTTGGAAATGTCACTTTGCAGACTGTTGATCCCTTCGCTCTGTAGGCCTCTTTTTAAGAGCCACATTTAGTCCAGTACTGGAAAGGGGTGGTTGATGATGAGTTTGAGGATGTAGAGGTCATTTGTTTTACTACATTGTAGAGGTGATTTGTTTTTACTACCTTAGGAGGTGTTTTCAGAAGTCCTTGTAGAAAAGGTTGGAAGGAAGGGCAGCAGCAGGGGAATAAATGAAATAGGAGAGTAAGCAAAGGGGGGGGGGCATGACTGTAGAAGAGAGGGTGGTACTGAATTGTTACTGAATAAAGCCCAAGGGTTAGAGGGATGGAGCCACAAGTAGAATTAACTAGCCCAGGTTTCCAAATTGACCTGTGGTGTGATTGTCTCCGGAGTTTGATCCATTGTCTGTCCTTGTAATCTAAAGGGAATGTTAGTAAAAAGCTTACCTCTGGGTGAGCCTAGATCAGTTAGGCCTTAAATAGTAAAAGCCATTAGGTCTCTTCTTTCTTTCTTTCTTTTTTTTTTTTTTTTTTTTTTGAGACAGAGCCTCAAGCTGTTGCCCTGGGTAGAGTGCCCTGGCATCACAGCTCACAGCAACCTCCAACTCCTGGGCTCAAGTGATTCTCTTGCCTCCGCCTCCCAAGTAGCTGGGACTACAGGAGCCTGCCACAACACCCAGCTATTTTTTGGTTGCAGCTATCATTTGGTTGTTTGGCAGGCCCAGGCTGGATTGGTGAATGTGGCTGGCGCTTTAGTTGCTTGAGCCACAGGCCCCAAGCCAGGTCTCTTATTTCTTAAGAATGCTCTATTTGCAGTGTTCCCCCTGTTTGGTTAGTTTTGAGGTAGAATAGGAAGATTCAGCAATACCTTGAATTTGGTAAAATCCAGTTTGTAATATCCCAGTTCTAGTGACCTACGAATGCATAGTAGCCATGGTGTTGGGCCCTTCTTTATCTCAGAGTTATCTTCTAGTCTCTTACTGTTCCATTTTAACTAAAACAAAGTACTGAGGCCACTGCTGCTAGGTGACTTAAGGAGCTCTGATAAGTGAGCTAATTAGTTATGGACCCCTTGTCCTCTTGGAATACCAAGGCAAATCCTTTTTTACTGTATAATTCCTTCAGGGATATGAACTTTTTGTAAAGCCAGTAAGTACCTTTTGTCAACTTTGTATACCTATCTGTTATACCTTCAGTCTTTAACTTTTAAAAAACCTGTTAGTGGTGATAAGAATGGGAATTTTTCTTTCTTTCTTTCTTTTTTTCTTTTTGAGACAGAGCCTCAAGCTGTCACCCTAGGTAGAGTGCTGTGGCGTCACACCTCATAGCAACCTCCAACTCTTGGGCTTAAGAGATTCTTTTGCCTCAGCCTCTCTAGTAGCTGAGTCTACCGACGCCTGCCACAACGCCCGGTTATTTTTGGTTGTAGTTGTCGTTGTTTGGCAGACCGGGGCTGGATTCGAACCTGCCAGCTCTGATGTATGTGGCTAGCGCCTTAGGCGCTTGAGCTATAGGCACCGAGCCTGGAATTGTTATTTCTTAGACAACTAAAGCATCTGTGTAAAAATCTTTGTATGTGATGTGTCCCAGTATTGAAAATCTATGATGTTGTCAATAGCCTAAATTTGTCTTCTTTTTCCTAATTTAGGTCTATCCATACTAGAAATGTAACTGGAAGTGACTCTGATGATGAAATCAAGAACCATCCGGAAAGATAATGCAGTAGAAACCTTGCTTCCAAATGAAGGTACAGAATCGCTACTTATTCTAAGGTATTTGAGGCGCAATTTTAATTTGACTCCTCGACAGTCATTTTATCATACTGATTTTAACATGTAGGTTTTTTGAAGTATAAAAGTTCTGATAGGTTAGAATATTCAGGTTTTAGAGAAGACTTCACCCTCTCCCTCCCCCAACCAAAACGAAACTGAACTGAGAAAAGATCCAGATTTTAAAGGGAGTATTCTTTATGATTATGGCAGCACGTCAATTATAAATGTTAAGTTCAGAATAGACTTAGTAACTAAGTTAGAAGAATTAGAGTAAATGTCAATAATTATTTTATTTACATCATGACTCCTGAGATGAGTAACTGAAGTTAGCACTCTAGCAGAGTCTCCCTATCTGATAGCAGAGACCTTAGTGATTGTTTTTTGGTTTGAAACCCTTTTTTTCTTTTCTCCTAAACTTATTGTTAAGCATTTTCTATTCACCAAGAAGTTTGACTGTTAAATCCCCCTAGGCTGTCCCTACAGGACCTTAGGGATCTAGTAGATTAGTTTCACTTGGATCAGAAAAGCAAGCTATATAATTAAAGCATCAAGTGACTGTTCTGAAACATGGGGTGGATCCTCACTTGAAGGACTACATAAGACAACTGGGAAAAAAAGAAAGGAAATATATTATTAACAGACAGCAAAAACAAAAACGGTCCTCTCCATTTTTCTATACTACACATAAATTTCAAACAGTGTAGAGTTAATTAGGCGTTTATTGAAAAACAAAGTATTTTTAATTTTAACTAGATTTTTCCAGATAGGGAGAAAGCATGGAAAGTATTTTAGGTGGATAGTTCTAAGTTGATTGGTTTCTCTGTATAGTACAGAGGTTTGTAAATTAATATTTTGTAGAATATAAAGAAGGTGAAAACCTGAGCAAAATGTATCACTTATTGATAGGATTCTTAACTTCATTCTTTTCTGTTTGGGAAGAAGTGTAGTGTAAAGCAATAAATTTCATCATAATAAGAATTTATGATATGATCATAATTTATGATCCAGAACTACCTTAATTGAAATAAGTAGATTATCTCCTGGAAGGGAATGGAATAATCGAGTAATTTCTGCCAAAGAAAAGTTATCTGAGATCAAATAGCAAATGAAAAAGAGTTAGGTTGCCTTGAAGATAAGTTTCAAAACTTTGGCAGCTAGTAGATGTATTTTTCTAATTTAGGGGGTGTCATTGTGAATTGTATGGTAATAATGATTAAATATATAACAATTCTTCTTATTAGAACCATTTCACTTTTTTTTTTTTAAGGTATATGCACAGTGTCCATAAAGTTCGTGTGCAATTTTAAAATAGTTGGCTATTTCCTTATTACTTTCATTTAAGAACATTAATTGAATGCCCAAGGTTTGCAAAGGATGATTCTAGATATGTGGGAGAATATAAATTATTCAGTAACTTTACTATAAATGATGCTATCTTATAAATGATGACATCTTTTATGTAAAATGCTTACTCTGGGGTTAGAGAGACTAATACACCCATCTGAAGCCATTTATGTGCAATCATAAAGTGAGCACATAAAATCATGATTTAGAATCCCTTTCTAAGGAATATAGTTATATTCTATTTTCAGTCAAGATTAGGGAATAGGAAGTTCTTATCAATTGAATTTGCTGATCACTTGGTTGGGGTTGTTAACTGATTCTAATTCTACTTCTGAAAGAGTCATTTAAGTGTCATTTAAACAGATTGTTTAAATTCTTAAATTAGGAGTTTCTGATTTATCAGTTTCTTATATTTCCTACTCCTTTGCAAGCATCACAGTGATACCCCTTATTCATATTTGTCATTTTCCCTTTTGAAAATAAAGTGAAAATTTCACAAACTCATGTTTAGAAGCTTTATACAAGGTGGCAATTGAACCTGAACTTTATGACCACTCTCTATAACACATTTGAACACTACTTTCTTAGATTTTTTTCCTTTTTTTGAGAGGACTTTAGATTTTAAGATGTGGGATTTTGTTGTTTTGGGACATAAGAACAAAACAAAATCAGTATTTGAGAGGATGACTTAAGGCCTTAGAATGTTTGCAAGGTTTTATGTCCTGGATTATATTTACAGGGAGTTAAAATGGTGTCTTTTGAAAGTTTGTTGTCTGGAATCAGTGAAATACTTGAAAACAAATTTTAGCAAGTTGTGTTAAGGGAATTAGTATCCCCTGTTACAGTTTTCTCTTATGGTATGATGGAAAGAGCCCAAGCTTTGGCTCTTCTCCTTTTATGCTACTCTGGGAAATGGAATTAATATTTCTCAGTTTCCTTTTCTATCATACTTAATTTTTACATGTGATAAAATATGAAATGTGCAAGAAATAATGCATTTTAGTGTGAAATTAAGGAATTGTTGCTAAAGACAGAGAAGGCCACACTACTGAAGTGTCGTTCAGAGGTACCTGTCTTATAGCAAAAAACAGGGCTATTTACACTATTACTGAGAAGCTTGTAAAACCAGTTTCAAAGTTTATGAAAGATATTATGCTTGGAAAGAAAGTAAAATGAGCTTTTGGCAAAAATCCCTGATCAAAGGCATACCATCTGGAAAAGCAATTACTGTCATGTGCCCAGGCTAGCGGCTATTTCGTTTTTCATTTGCTTTCATACCTTATGTACGGAGGACATACTAGCAGTTGATACAGGTCTGTTACTGTTTATCACTGCAGAATCATTGTAGCAGAAGAGTTTTTTTGTCTTTATTTTTTGTTGTTGTTGTTGTTTGTTGGTTACTTTTTCAAGCTGCGATAGCCTATAAAAGTTGCATTGGTCAAAGTACCAACAACTTGGCTTGGCGCCTGTGGCTCAAGTGGCTAAGGCACCGGCCACATACACCTAAGGTGGCGGGTTTGAATCCAGCCCAGGCCCGTCAAACAACGACGGCTGCAACCAAAAAATAGCCGGGTGTTGTGGCAGGCGCCTGTGGTCCCAGCTACTTGGGAGGCTAAGGCAGGAGACTTGCTTGAGCCCAGGAGTTGGAGATTGCTGTGAGCTGTGATGCTACAGCACTCTACCCAGGGGGACAGCTTGAGGCTCCGTCTCAAAAAAAAAAAAAAAGTACCAACAACTTGAGCAGGAAAGGGTGTACTTGGTTTCTGAGTAAAAGGATATCAATTTATATCTCGCTTTTTTCAGAGATGAGTTGCCATTTAGTACTGTGATTTCTGATGATGACTTAGTGTTGAAGAAAAGAGTAAACCTTGTGGATGTAAGCAGTGTTTTGTTATATCCACAAGTTACACCTCCTCCTTTCAGAGTTTTGTGACAAAATGGTGAACAAATAAAGTATCCTGCTTTTCCACAGGGAGGTATGCTAGCTGTAGAGGAGGAAAGGGCTTTCATGTTTGTTAGTTTTATAGTAAAACAAGATAAAGAAATACAGTAGAACCTCTGTAAGTTGGCCACTCAAGGGACTGTAAAAAACTGGTCAACATACAGAGGTGGTCAATGTAAGGAATTAGGCCTGCTATACCAATATGTACATGTACTTTATTGTACAGCTTTTATTAGAGAATATCATACAAAATCATACCTAATCAAAACAGTGAAACCATACATACAGTATCATACAAAATCAATACATTTACTGTTTTCTCGTGGTTTAATCATTTCTGAATTTCTGAAAAAAGAGTCAGTCTTGGTTGGTTTCTTCTTCTTATTAAAAACATAAGTGGAGAAAACACTCTCAACCCTGGCTATACCAACTGCATACCTGGGCATTTTTCCACAGCAAATGCCTTCAGCTGCATTATCCGATGCCTGACATCCTATTCTTTTACAGTCTCTGCAATTTCCGTGTTATCCTCCCTTGTTTCTTCCACTTTATCAGGTGCTTCATGCACTTCTATGTCGGTCTGTACTTTGGTCAGTATCACTAGGAAAATTGCTTCTGAGTCAGGCATTATAGATTGCTGCATCATCATGCATTGCAAAATAACCTTCAAAAGCTACTCCTTCAAATTCTGCTATGGGAGACGGATTGTCTGATGGGGCTAAAACATAGTGCTCTTGGTGACAAATCTAGCTTTCTTGAAACACTTTTGTATTATTTCTGGCTGAACTTTATTCCAAGCAGAAGTGATCCAGAGGACAGCATCCAGAGTGTTAATCGATACAGCAGATGCAGTTGCTTCCATAGGTGGACCACAGGTTTGTGTTGACATCTTTAACATGGACTTTTTTTCAAGGCAACGCCTGACAAGAGCCTCATCATGAAGGCTGACAAACTTAATGACCGACTGCAGGAGCTGGGCTTAGTAGTGCATTTTAAATGTTTTGGTGATGGTCAAGAGGTTGGATTTTTGATGTTGTGTTTGGAGGCACAAATTTTAGTGTCAACATTTGTGAGATGATTCACTTCCATGTGGCCAGCAAAGTTGTCTACTCTCAGTAGCACAGGCCGTTTCTTCTTCTTCATTTCTCCATACCCCATACCTACTTTTCAAATAGGGCACCCAAAATAAATAAATAAATAAATAATAAAAAAACAAATAGGGTACCAGTCATCCATGTGCATTTGTTTGATCTCCAACTGACAGGGAGGTCTTCAGACTTCAGTTTCTTGAATGTATGTGGCTTTGCCAATTTACCAGTCACCAGGCTTTAGTTTCATCCCTGGTTGAATAGGTGCAAAGCAGAACTTCGAAAAAAGTTCTTTAGAAAGTTTATCAGCCTTCATGATGAGGCTCTTGTCAGGTGTTGCCTTGAAAGAAAGTCCATGTTAAAGTTGTCATCATCTCCAAAGCCTCCTCGAAGTCCGGAAACTTCCTGATGAACTCTTCCACAACTTCTACTAGAACTTCATTGGATTCACCACTCACGACTTCCGGGAGATATTGTGTCCTAGTTTAAATTTCTTGAGCCAATCACTTGATGCTTGGAAATCTGCCACCCAAAATTCCTGTGTAAATTTTGTAGCAACTTCTTGTATCATTGGCCTGGAGGTTTGGGCATTAACTACCCT